CGCTCGTGAATTCTCCCGAAAAGCCCTCTCCATGGTTCTGCTTGGACGGCCGCGGGACATGGCACGACCTGCGGGAGCTTGCAGCACGGCGCTCCTGGCCCATGCGTTCAAATTTTATGGAAAGATTGCCGCCGAGTCCATGCAATCGAGACCAAAACAACGTCCAACTGAAAAGACATTGCCACGGTCTGGAAACACCCTGCAAAAGCTCCGAAAATCCCAATCGAGGTCAAGCCATGCAGAGCAAGGGGCAGCTGCTTCTTTTCCTTTGCTTGGCCGCTTGGCAGAGAAATGGGGAGCGTTGCGAAAGTGTCATAGAGGAGGGTGAAGATCGGCATGTCCTGTGTCCGGAAGTGAGCTCACGCAGGCTGAAATGCGGATTGCGGGGCAAGCTTGTGTGAGCCTTCAAACCACACCACTGAGATTCTGGGCTGCTGCCTGCTGCTGAGCCGCGCAGTGCGGGCGTTCGACTCGGAGTTCCTGGAGACCGGCACAGAGGACCGCAGCTGGGCTCCGAGGGTCTCCTCTGGAGTCATCGAGAGCACAACACCTCCAACCCAGATGCCCAGAAAGTGTCACTGCGGGAGCACTAATGCTATTTACTACTTTTTTGCTGCACGGGATCATGTTGCGTGACGTGGTTTGTTTGGGCAGTTCCTTTCCGTGCTTGTCCCCCTTTCAGGATGAGACACCCAACGTGGCCAGCAGCAAAACCTGGGGCGACGCTTACCTGCAGGGGACCTCTTCGAGGGTCCGGGCTTGTGGGCTTGTGGTGTCGGGCTGCCAAAATTGCTTAAACAACATGGCAACAGTAGGCGGAGGAGTGGTGTGGTGGTAGTGGTGTCGTGGTGGTGCCAGCAGTGGTGGTGGTAGTCGTAGTCTTCGATGTCGCCGTAGGAGCAGCAGCAGTCGTCGTCGTCGTAGTCGTGGTCGGAGTCGGAAGAGTATAGGAGGAGGAGGAGGAGGAGGAGCCAAGACCCCCGTGACCCGAAGGGCGTACAACACAATGGGAGAATATTTGAACCCGCGTGCTTCAGGACTTCTTCGGCGAAGTCCGCAAGTTCCTGTGGCCCCACAGATGCACGGAAGCCGTCTGGTTGACTTAGCTCTAAAGCAAAGAAGCACGCACTTCCAGGGTCCATCCGAATAGCAGCTGCAGAGTTCCTGAGCGATTTTCAATCGTCGCTGGGTCAAGGGCTGGACGAACATGCTATCGAGGCAGCTGGACTTCGTCTGGTCTCTAACAGTGGTGCTGATCTCTGTGGCCATCGAGCCATAGCCGCACAGGCTTCCAGTGAATCTTTTGTGGTGGCGGAGCAGGCATATGTTGTGGCACCGCTCATGTTGGCAGATGCTGAGATGAACTGCCAAGTTCCAGCATTGCGTCGCGTACTGCACGCTCTGACAGACGAATCCCCAACAGAAGAATCGCGAGCATGCACCATCATGTCATGCTATCTTCGAAAACCTCGACTTGAGTGCTGTCGCAGGAGCTTTCTAGTTTTTGGTGGGGCTGCAGCCCAGAATCTTCTGACAGGGCATGTTGGGGGATCATCACGTGAAATAGCCTTGCGGTCTTGAAAAACAAAGTCAGATACAGCGCTGTCCAATCGTCAAGGCCTGCAGTGCCGAACCCTGAACCCTTCGAGGCCTCCCTATAGTTTTGGGGTTTAGGGGTTCAGGGTCTCTGGTATGTGTCTTAAGGGAGACGTAGGATAAATGGGTCTACAGTAGCTGGAAGAGCCAGGCCGTCATGACCATCCCAGGTATTGTACAGGCCACCTGAGATTGTGGGCGACACCGCTGACGATGGCCACTAGCCTAGCTTCTTGCAGATTCGGCTTGCTGTTGTCAAGACCAAAACAGAAGGATGCTTTCAATGCTTTGGGCTTGTGTCTATGCTGACGAGGTGTCGTCGTTGAGAAGTGGAAGCCGGTGCCGTGGCACATGAGGCTCCTTGCGTCGCTGACCAGCCACGCAGCGGGCATTGCCGGCTTCGTCGGCTTCCAGTGGATCGTCGTCGCCAGGCGAGGGGGGGGAGGGACGTGTGCAGAAGCGCTGAAGCCACTACAGCCTTACTTTCTATTTGCTTCCCTTCCTGACCTCTGTGGGCAGGATTGTGTCCACCAGCCAGCCGCTCGACAGCTTTTCCCCAACCAACTTCCTGCTCTACACCAGCATCGCCATCTCCATCACCGCCATCTTCTCGAGCATCCTGCCCTTCGGCTCAAACGCTTCGGTATCCATCCGTTTGATTGAGCAGGCATGCCTGAAGAGCCTTTTAGTATATTGTAGCATTACAATATGTCTGTATTCTAGCATTACAGCGTTGCAGTAGTTAAAGTATATTCTATTCTAGAACTTGCACCTTGAGGTTCCTGGTGCTGGACTACTTGCGCCGTCTAGTCATCGACAGCGCCCGGGGCCGGGGGTATCGGCTCATCCTCGAGCCCGGGCAACTTGAGCAGACAGGCGTCCGTGCAGCCAAGATGGGGGTCGAGGGCTTAGGGTTGAGGGTTGATAGGGTTTAGGGTTTAGGGTTCAGGCTTTAGCGTTTGTAGGGTCCTGTTTGGGCCGAAAGATAGGCGAACAGTGCTCGGGCAGGGATCATGCAAACGCCGATGAGATCATGCCGAGGCCCTCCAATCACATATGCACGAAGCACGAATGCAGATCAGATGCAGACAAAAACAGATGGACAAAGGCTTGAGGTGGTAACGTTTGGGGGCACAATCTGGTTGCTTGAGGGGTTCGGGGGTTTTTGCAGTCGAGGGCTCGGGCTTCGGGGCTCTCGATTCGAGTCTGTGAAGTTCAGGGTTTCAGGTTTTGTTTTCAGGGTTTGGATGTAGATAGGGTGTGTTTGTCTTCAGGCCTCGGGGCAGCGTTGATCGTGCTGACGGTCGTGCTCCTGTTCCTGCGCCTGAGAAGCAGAATCCGAGGGGTTGGTTCAGTGTGTTGAACGTGCTGGTCTTGTGCAGTGCGTTCGCAAGCCCGGCGCTGCTCTCCACAGCGGCACAAAGGTGGCTGCATGTGCCTGTACTTGAGGTCATGTGTGTCATCTTGACAGAGATCCAGGAGAACCAGAAATTCCGCAGAAAGGACAGCAGCCGAATAGACACGTATTGGTGTCTTTCGGTAGCAAGGGAATCGCTCCGTTGGTATCTGTGTTAAACCAGCGAAGCAGGGAAGATGGTAAGTCTGCTGATCCCACCAGCAATTCTGAGAGGAGAAGCAGGAGATTCTGGGCGTGGTCCTGGAAAAGGCAGCGCCTTCTGCTTGGTAAGCCACAATCTTCTCGACGTCGCTTTGAAGCCGGGGTGTGGCTGGGTGGTTCAGGGACACAGCTCGTCATTGCTACTGTCTAAGTTCTAACTCCCAAGTCAACTGGTACTTACCCCACCTAGCTTGGTTCTTGTCGTACCATCCTTCAGGCTTACTTGCTGTTGTCCCTTCTGAGCGCAGGATCATAAATCCTTTTCGATGCATAGCATTGCAGTGGCGTGGCAGTGAGAAAGCGCGCGCGGCAATGAATGGATGCGTGAACTTCTCAGCAAACGTCCGAAGGAGGCACTCGCGGGTCGACTTCCCCATGTACATCTGGGATGCTTAACACAAACCGCGCGACTTTTGGATGTCTGCAGCTGCTGAGAAGTGTAGCTGAAGATGAAGGTGTACGGCTGCGGCACGGTCCTGCTGTACTTCATCAACCTGCGCGGCTTGTGCAAATCGCCCAAGGCCTCTCCTGAATCCTCGCATTTTGTGTGAAAGCTGTGAACCTCTGCAGTCAGTGTCTTCGGACTGAGAGGTGTTCTTCCACCAAGCCGGCCTCCGTACCGAGCAGGAGATCGAATTCAAGGAGCCCTCTGGACTCATCATGCCTTGGACCAGCAAGTGCGATGCCCTGAGGACTTCTTGGAGGAGTTCAGCGGCGGCCGCAGTGAAGGGTCCGCCTCCTTCTGACAAACGTCGCATGCCCACTGCAGTAGATGCCGTCGTCCCTTCGAGGCTCGTCCAACAGGTTCGCAACGTCCTCGCATGGCTGGCCGAGCGCTTGGCAGGGGAGGACCAAAAGGGGAGATTTGCCATGAGATCACGGGTGTCGGGCTCCACTTGAGCAGGACCTGAAGCTCTTCTTTCAGCTGGGCAGCCGTCGGGCCTTGTTCCCTAACCAACGCCTGGCCCCGATCCTTCACGTCGTGGCGTGGCAGGATTTTGTGGGAGGATCGAAGATGCTTGTCGCTGCCGAGTCCTCGTCAGCTTTCAAGACCGATAATCTTGCGTGACCAAGGTGGCGGGCCTGCTTCTTTTGGGCGTGCTGCCCGGCATTTGCCAGTTTGCCACCGAACGGCTCTTCGTCGATCCAAAGTTCGTAGATGTGTGACCCGGCTTGCGGCGTGACTCACAGCTCTCGGAGGGTTTTGCATCCAAGTTGAGTCAGCAGCCGCGATGACGCGTTATTCCAGTCATAGGACGATCAGCTAGCAGCTAGAAGCCTCCGAAGCTGTCACAGAAGCCCTCGACTCGTCTGACAAGGAGAGCTTATTCCGCCACGATCTTTCCGAGCTTCAACCCGTCCCACAGCAAGTACTTGCTGCTTGGCGATCCTCACATCCACCTCCAGGTGAAGACCACGTCTCGTCACACTTCGTTCCGGGACAGCACTACACAACACCTTCTATTAGTCAATCTATGCTCACAAGTAAGGGTTGCAGATTTCATTGTAAAGCCGTCGCAGTCATGCGGTCAACTGCAGCTTTGCCGAGCCTGCAAGGAGCATCCAGCTCTGCTGCTTTCCATCTCAGCAGCCCTGTGAGAACCGCTCATTGCATCACTCCCTGATACAGTTCGATGATGATCCGATCACCCTGGCAGTTCCTGCAAGCGAGTCGTCAGAGTGCACGCTCACAGCGTCAGGCGTGGCGGCTGCGAACTCGGCAACTAATGATTAGCACACGGATCCCTGACTCCGTCAGCATGTGCACGACTTCTCATCCCGCCAGGTCTCAGCAGTCATGCCTTAGCGACCTTGAAGTTCGAAGTGGAGTTGCAAGTGAAGTACCATTTGTGCGATTGCTCCACCAACGATGGTTGTGGCTGCTGCGACGGCTATGCTGGAGAGCTCGAAGATGCTGGGGATCCCATGAAACTCCCGACCGCATGTCAGCCTGCCCCTTGCGATATCGACAACTCGAACAAGGCGAAGGGCTGGGATTGCAAATGCAAGCCGGAATATAGCGGCAGCATATACTGGGAGGGCGCCACCCCGAAAGGGACTTGTACCGTGGCTCCATGCGAAGTTGACAATTCCGACAAGCAGCCCGGACCACAGTGCCGATGCGAGGATGGATACTACGGCAACATCACATGGCGTAACAGCTCGGCAGAAGGGCCGTGCTTGCCGGCACCGTGTAAGGCTCTAATTCCGAACTCCACGGGGCGTGGTACAGACTGCAAGTGCAAATCCGGGTATGCAGGGCAGATAAGTTGGCATGGATCTCAGCCGGCAGGCTCTTGTGAGCCAGCGCCATGTAGCGTCCTGAATTCGAACCGAAAGCCCGGCCTCGACTGTGCATGTGTCCAGGCGGAGTCCTAGAGGGCGCAATTTTGGATCTTCGGGTGGGTTCAGAGTGCCTGTGGGGATGGGACTGCTTTCAGGCTTTTGTCGTGTTGGATCTTGGTACTTTCCCACTTTCTGTTGTTGAGTGTCGTGGATATCCCCACAAGTTCGATTGAGCTTGCCACCCGAGGCTCAAATGCTCATATTTTCGTTGAACGAAAAACTCAGCTGAGGCTTGGCTGGTTTCGAAGGAAAGGTCTCCTGGAATGGCACGCATGCGGAAGGACCCTGCAAGCCAATTCCTTGCAAAGACTTCATTCCGAACTCCTATGGGCTTGGCGTCGGCTCTTGCGAGTGCCAGGACGGCTTTGAAGCGACATGGGAGGATGACGGCACACAGACGTTGGAAAAGGACCGCAATAAAGCAGAGGTTACTATAGAGGACGTCAATGAGACGCGGTTGGAAAGCTGTGAGCCGGCACCGTGTGACTTTGATTGGTCGAACAGGCGCCCAGGGCTTGCTTGCGCTTGTGGACCAGGATATTTTGGTCACGTTGTGTGGAGAGGTACAAGAGCAATATCAAACTGTAAGCCCAATGACTGCCGAGGGCGATACGCCATTGGAGAGGGTGCGGATTGTCGCTGCAAGGATGGTTACACTGGCACAGCTCGAAGAACTGGGAACTACAGTTTCCAAGTGGCTCACTGCAGGCCCGCGCCGTGCGACATCGAGGGGTCCAACTTCCAAAAAGGACCGGACTGCTCTTGCGCAGATGGGTTCAGCGGGTCTGTGCGTTGGTTTAAGGACGAGTCCCGTGGCGTATGTAAACCAGCGCCCTGCTCGATACAAAACTCCAACATGGAGCCTGGAACAAGATGTCGGTGCAAACCTGGGTTTGAGGGCAATATCACTTGGCAAGGCCCGACTGTTTCGGGCCGCTGCGAGCCAGTGGCTTAGGGTTAAGGGTTTAAGTTTAGGGGTCCATCCGGATAGAGGGGACCTAGATCTCTACAGTCCCGCTGCCGCGCAGTGGGCCATGGACGTACCTCGGTGCAACAGCCGTCTACGTTGCTTTTTGTTTGGAAGGCTCTCGCGCTGCCTCTCATGTAGACCCATGCACCCACAGCCAGAAATCATATAGATTCCTAAATAGTCACCTTTAGTATGCTTTGGTCATGCCCAAAGCTCCATTCGACGCCAGCGATGTCCGCGTAAGGCCAGTCACCGTGGGGCAAGGCACCGCGTGGGGAGTCAAAGCTCTGCCGACACAAGGCTTCTCGCAGGACACAGCCACAAAGTACACTCAACGCAGCGACAGGGCTAAAAAGGTGGAATCCTCGAGCAGCGATGTCCTGCATATGCTACATTCGGGTCAACAGGTGAGGCACGTTTGATCTTGCAAATCGCCCCTAGGCCGTAGAGGTGTGACAGAACGTCGCCGACCCTCAGACAAGACAATTCCTACTTCGCATCGATATGCAGCTAGTCAGGGTCTTACTTAAAGCCAACAATGGACAGAAACCTGTTGCAGCCCATGTCAACAGCTTTGTTACCGGGAATTCTGATGAGTGAATTCTGGTATGTTGAAGCACACCGGCAGGTGAATGTAGAATTGGGGACCCGTGCAACGGAAGGGGAAATTCACCGATTCACCGCAGGGGCGGCCGCTCGATTCACCGATTCAGTGCGGGTGTCACCACCACGGATTCATTGATTCACTGTAGGGGTCACCGCGTACGGATTCACCGATCATTGGGAGGGGGGGGGGGGCAGATTCGGTTCACTGCGGGCGCCGCTGCTCAACAATGTACCGATTCAGGTGTCGCCACTAAGGGATTCACGGCGGGGAGGTTGCCTCTCACCAGCCGCACAGATCCAATGCGGTGTAGAAAGAGAGAAGGCACGAGAGCGAAAGAGAGAGAGAGAGAGAGATACAGAGAGAGAGCCCCTTGTCCAAGCGGTAAAGCAGCGCATGAAGCCTAAAACTGTGGGGTGACTTAGCGGCATTATCATGTCAGGGTTTTCCATGGCTGAAGATCTCAAGCATCCTTCGCTGAAGCTTCGTATGCACGAGCGTTGGCACGAGTGTTGGCCCTGCATCTCTTCCAAACCGTCAGTGTTCCCCCACGCGTGAAGCTGTCAATGCTCGCTCTCTGTGTCAAGCAGCGCCTTTTAAATTGGACGGTCTCCATGAACCGTAGGAAAACGTTTGCAGTGTCATGCTTAAGAGGGTCGGCAGTTTGAACATGGTGCATGGTGACCAGATGCCGAAAGTCGGCCCCCAACCATGTTGAGTTGTGTCGAAGCCGAAGGAATGTGATTGGGAGGATGATGCTCATTCCGGTGAAGGCAAGTAGCAGCAGGTGGATATGGAAGAGAAGTGTGCAGTATACGTGGGACCCGCAGTTTGTCTCAAGTCACTGGGTCCGCCTCGAGCTTCACAGCTGCGTCAACGACTGCCATGTGGATGAACTCGAAGCGACAAGCTCTCTTGGCTTTGGGTGCGGTGTTGTCGGCCCTGCACCTTCATGGTTGCGGGTTTGGGTCCGCAATCTGGGCTGAAAAAACAAATGCTAGTTCAGCTGATGTCATTGGGGCTTCTGGCTATTTTGTATATTTTTGTGGCAATTTCGTCGCCAGTACCAGAGCCGTACAGTTCTGACAGGTTTAGGGTGAACCCCGCTCACCAGACATGCCCTGCGCTCACGAGGATCATCGGAAATCGCTGCCACGAATGACACCAACAGCACATCTGCGGAATATGAGTTTCCGGATCCCGAGATTACCTTCGAGACGCAATCCACCACGACTACCACACCAGTTGATGCCTCGACGGAGGCCACGAGTACTTCAGCCACCACCAGGCCGAGCAGCACTACACGAGGCGTGTGCTTGTTGTTGTGTTTTTGCGTGTGTTCAGGGGGTTGAAAAATGGTCCGAGGAGTTTGTACGCTGGAGCTCAGGGTCCGAGAGGCGCAAATCCAGAAGTCAAGATGTTTCGGCAGGTGAGGGGTTCACGTGCTCAACATCAACCCCGAGACGGCTTGGAGTGACGATGCCAGCTGCCGCTCGAAGGCTGGGCTCCGATGCCTCGCGCTACAACTACAGTTTCAAAGACGAGGCAAGTGGCCGTGGAGTACATTTAGCGTACGACGTCGAGCTGAATCAGGACGTTGAGATTTTGCCTCTCCCGGAGGTCCAAGGTGTCAGTACCGTTCTTTGCTCAAAGACCGCCGTGCTATCTGTGTCCCTTGCAAGCAAGAGCGCAAGGGATGCGTTCGGAGCACGGCTTGCCAAGGTGGAGGGAAAGAGGCTGTTCCTAACTTCACCCAATGTCAGGTCTTGTGGCCCAGGCGCTTTCCTTGGTTGGGTGCAAGAGGTAAATCTCGTTCAGAATGGCGTTGAGATCGGCCACCTTGATGCCAGCTACGAGGACGTCTTTAAGAAGGCTCACGTCGACTTCTCCACAAGTCTCGCCAGCCAGCCTGGTGAAGGCTTCCAGGCTGAAGTGGTGCCTTCTGTGGATACGGAGGGAAGCCATGGGCGGCGGCTTTTCTTCGGTTCCTGGAATCCTCTCGCAAGCGTTTGGAGAGCTGCAAAAAGCTTTGCGTCAACTGTCGTGTCGGGGGTGACGCTTGTCGTCAGGGTCGTTGATGTCGCGATGAACGGGGGCACCTTCGAGTACCCCGAGGGATTACAAGAAGGCGAACCGCAGGAGTTCACGCTTCTCTCGATGGGCTGCACCGGAAGCATCACCAGGGAGGAAGGCATCAAGAGCGGCGTGCTGGAGGTGATAGCAGAGGCCGAGCTCACCGCTTCGCTTGGCTTCAGCCTCTCTGTCGAGAACATGGCCGTGACTTGGCATCTTGCGAGGGACGTTATATAAAGATACATACATACATACATACATACATACATACATACATATATATATATAACCCACCCCCCTCATGGACCACGTTGTGGCTGGATGGACCCCACCGCACGAAAACAGCAGTCAGTAGATCCTTGAGGGGGAGTGGTGAACCCTCATCAAAGGATCCTTGGTACAGGCCTTGACCCGGTGCAAAGCGGTACAACCGGTACACTTTGTAAATTTGTAACGGGCTTATCCAAGATCCAAGAGCTTTTTGAAATTGGGTCCATCTGGTACCGGTTGTACCGGTTTGTAGCAGACTGGGCTCTGGTAGCCGCCCATTCACCACGAGGTCATCTACATCTTGGAAGCACCTAGAATTTAACTGCCGGGACACGAAAACAGGATCCTTGAGGAAGGGAGGTTAACACATACATCTGTGTGTACATATATATTTATATATATGTACTTGTATATGTATGTATGCATGTATGTATAACTTGCATGCAGTACATAAGCCATAGGCGTTAGCAATGGTAGGTCAGCGTCAGTTCCCCAGCAAGAACTCAGGTGAAGGAAGCCGGGGTCTCCGTCGGCGGTCAACTGCAGCTTACAGCAGAGGCTTCCGGAACCGGATCCCTGGAGTGGAATTATGAAAAACTGATCTTCACCTTTCGGTCGCCCACCGTCCAATTCCTCATCGGGGGCCTCTACGTGACCATTGATGTGGAGGCACCCGTGAATGTGGGGTTCGAGGCGAAGTACGAGGGCAGTATCAAGATGCGCAAGACCATGACTGGCGGGCTGAACTTTGAGTACAAGTACCGGCCTCAAAGTGACAGCGTGCATCAGCGCAGCTTCACACCCACCTTCACGGCTGAGTCGTCGGTGGAAGTTGAGTCGGGTGCCAGCATCACTTTGTACACGAAGGTTGCTCCAACTGTGTCGATTTGGAAGATCTTCTCGGTGTCGGTTCCCATGAAACCATATCATCTGGCCGCCATGGACTTTCTGAAGCATCCCGGTCGTGTTGTTGTATGATTGTTATGTCTTGTTGTAGGTCGGAAATGTACAAGCTAGTCAGAATGGCTTCCATCGGTAGTGCAATTAGTGCATAAGCCGTAGCTGAGGGCTAGCTTGATGCAGGTCTCCTGACGACGACTGCTTCCTGAAGAAATACATCGGGCTAGATGTGGATCTCACCTTCCGGGCCAAGGGCATCGCAGAGGTGAACTTCCCGAATGTTCTGGCCAAGCAGTGGCCCTGGGAACCCAGCCAGGCCGAATGTGAGGAGAGTCGGCGCTTGATGGATTCCCCCCCACTCCGAGGGCTCACAGAAACGAGCTTGGTGGGCCGAATGTGGCAGGGAACTGTGGAACCGGTCCCCTGTGCTTTCGGAGCGACCCCCGTCTACGGCAGTGGCCAAGTGCAGCTCCAGCTTGTGGAGGAGCGGGACGACGACACGCAGGCTTCCTGATTGCATCCAGTGTTTGCTGCTGGCTTCATGGCTTGTAGCGTGGCACAATGCAGCACACAGTATGCCCGGAGCCTATTTTCTAGTCTCTCCTTCTCTGTGGCATGGTAGGCTGTATATGGCAGAGGATGATATGTGGCCTTCGTGCCAGATTCGAGTGCGTCATTGCATGGGCACAGGTTCTGATGGGCGCCATAAACCTGGGTGCCGCCTCCTGGGGAGGCCGGTCTCTCCAAGGGGGTGGTCAATGCTCCATCACCGTGAAGTTCGTCTTCGATCCGACCTCGAGGATCCTGGCTCCAGATCCCAGCGAGGACCTCTGATGCTTGAGGTTTAGGGTTTAGGGTTTAGGGCTCTCTTCATAAGCTTCTCCCCTGCGCCGCTCGCCCCGTAGTCTACGAGCATGCTAGGCAGGCCTTGCGTAGCAGGCGGGGCATAACCAGCGACGCAGGATTTCTTCGCCCGCTGCGGGGACCTGAACTTCTACGACCTCAGGTTTATCCTCAACGTCGCCGACCTCGGCACTTCCTTCACAGGGCAAACCTCGCCCAATGGGTGCAACTGGCTGGACCTCAGCCAGATTGCACGTGTCACCGATGGCACCCTAGCGTAAGCTGGGAAACGTTGGCGATGCCCCACATTCCGAAGTCCAGAGTCTGGTGTACGTGGGTAGCAGTATAGGTAAGTAAGGTACTGCCTGTAACCGTCGTCCTAAGACCGAGGCTAGCAATCGTAGTGAGGGGCAGCAAAAGAACACCAGAAGCAGACCGGGCAAGTTGCTGTTGCACGTTGCTTCATGGTGGTCTTGCAACTCCGAAACTGTATCTGTGCCTGCCTGCATCAATTGTTTCGCAGAGCGCTCAAAGCCCTTCAATCAAAGACTGTCCTTTTCCGATCAGAAGCTCTTTACGACCTAGTGATTGCTCCTTTTCAGGGAGTGTCGGCCTGGGAAAATTGGGCTCCCATCCAATGAGCCGCACTGGCAGAACTCTCCCGGGTTCGGAAATCATTGGGGGCCAGGTCTAGGTGTATATGGATACAGCAGCACGTGCCCTGAAGTCGAACGAGATGTGTTGTGACGCGCTTTTTGGGTTCAACCGGAAGTTTTTGAGCCCGGGACTGTGCATGGACTGTTTTGGGGACCAGTACACGTCTTGTGTCATGGAGTTTCCCTGTAATTCAGGTCTTGATCACTGCCATGTTGGGGCTATCCGATAAAAATCATCGGAGTGGCACCACTGTGTTCTCGCCTGACACCTTCACTGAGACTGCGGACGATCCTACTTGCAAGAAAAGGCTTGTCAAGGAATTGATCCAGCTGACTGCAGGCCTAGACATTACGATTGTGCTCGCAACTTCACACCTAGGACAGACGAGACAGAGGGGTAGTTGTCTAAATATGTCTAAATTAGGGTCCCTTTTAGGATCCCTTTTATCAGGGTGCGGTACTATATTGGGAACTTAAAAAGGGCCCTAATTTAGAGAACTACCCAGAAGCATTGTGTGCAAAGTCCAAGAAGCAACAGAAGGAACGACTCGTTGCTCGGTGGCTTCGTGGGGACTACCCAAAGCCTTAAATCTCCAGACAACTGCTCAAAGTCTGATCCGTGCATTTCCCGGATTTCGAGGGGCTTGATGCTAGTTTCGCAGTTTCGGCTCCAGGTTGCTCTAGGCAGTCGATGCCGTTGCATCATAGCAGTGGCGATCAAGTACATGTACTGTGAATCCGTTCTTATCTGAGGTTTGTAAAAGAAACCATTTGTTGACCAAAGCTGATGGAATCATTCGCAACTGTCTCCGTTGGCTTGGCTTGCTTCGCCGCTGGAGCAGAAACGGTCCGATGGGCCTTGTCGCCCTTGAGCATCAAACAAACCAACGGTCGCAAGCAGCACGTGGAGGGCATGTACTGGGGGCTCGTCTTCCTTTTCGCATTTGCCTTGGAGGTTAAGGGTTTCATCTCGCCGACCTCCTTCGTTGTCCTCGGAGCAGTGGCATTCGTCCGCTTCTTCGGGACCAAGCACGAAGCCAACCACGTACATTTCCTCCCAACTATGACAGATCATGCGTTGCAATGGGGCCACCGCTTCCTGGACATACCGGCAAGCCCCTTCGAGATGTGCCAGGACGATTTGACCGACTGCCACAAAGGGCACCACAAGGCGTGGATGCCCAACAGCACATATCCGGACCCCGACGCTTACATGACGCAGTCTTGGTGGCCAATCGGTCTCCTCCACTGCATCTTTGAGAGTGACACTGTGGCATTTTGGGGAAGCGTTTGAATCTCATGTAGGGTTCTACAGAGGTATGAATGTACTACCACCCCAACCCCTGAACCGCAAACCCCAAACCCCAAACC